AAGCTATAAATGACCATAATAGGTCCACTTTAAGCTGTGCACTAAAAGTCTGTCACATCTGACTCTGGATTTTTCTTTTTACATTAAGAAATTTGTGCAAAAGCTTTTCCAAGCAGCACATAATTATTCATCCAAAATATATATTCTTATATTTTAAATCATTTCCTTTGGCAGCTGGTGTATTATAAATTATTTTCCTCCAGCCACTGAAGATTACAGATGGTTCCAAATGTTGAATCTTCTAATAAAGCCATGGTGTGGGGTTCTGTAGGGTTTACAATTCAATATAATATTTTCGTTTTACCTGTGAGGCTTCTTGGAGTAAAACCCTCAGACTGTATTTCTAACCTATGTTAATGTCCTTCCAGTTTGACATTTGTTTTCTTATTTCCTGGCTTTATTCAGGTGGAGAAGATCGATTGGAGCACATGGACGTGTGTCCTGGGAACATCTGTTGAGGGCATCTGGCCTGTGATAAGCGAGGTCACTGAGGTGACCGCTGCCTGCCTTAGTAATGACAGGAAGGTGCTAGCAACAGGAGATGATCTAGGATACATCAAGCTCTTCAGATATCCTGTCAAGGTTCGACACAGTGCATAATTCTCCGTATTATCTTGTTTAAACATCGCGTGACTCGAGTTATAAGTTGTGCAAATTTTATGTTAATTATGTGTTAATGTCACAAATGTTAAATAGCATCCTTCTCCCCCAGGGGAAGTATGCAAAGTTCAAACGCTACGTGGCCCACAGCACACATGTTACTAATGTGCGATGGACCCACGACGACAGCCTCTTGGTGACTGTCGGTGGGGGTGACACGTGCCTCATGATTTGGGCCCACGAGCCCGAGGGCCACCGCGAAATCAGACAGTGTGACAGCGAGGAGTCAGATATTGAGAGCGAGGACGATGGAGGCAAGAAATTAAGTTCTTCTAAGATCTTTATTTGTCAGACGTGATCCTCTTGTCGAATGAAAAATCGAGTTTCCTTTTGCCCCACCAGGGTATGACAGCGATGTGACGAGGGAGAACGAAATCAACTACACCATCAAGGCCTTATCCACCAACATGCGACCAATGACAGGCGTGAAACCCCACTTGCAGCTGAAAGAGCCCTCTGTGGATGAAAGGTATTCCTCACTGAAGCAGTGACACAATAATAATAACGAGGCTTTTGTGTCAAGCTAAAGCCAAACCTGACTTCTTCACACAGCCCTGTCCTGTCCCTTTCCTTTTGAAATAACTCTGCCTTTTCTGCTCTTCTTTCCTTTAATGGCTGTCCATCTGTCACTATCCTGCTCCATTATTTTATTCCACTTGAAGACAAGGGGTAGTCAGGTAAGTTCTTGTAATTATATAGAGCGATTTTGCTAAAGCAATAAGCATACGCACATAGGCAAACTGTATGTAACAGCAATAAAAAAAAGAAAGTGTGGCCTTGATCCCCTTACATGTTTTCACACATGCACCATAACCCTTAGCTTTTGTAGACATTACCCAACTGAGATGCACAATATTAACTTTGCTCATATAGCAGCTCTGAAATAAAGATTATAAACTCTTTGAAACTCACTTTGACAGACAAGCAAAAAGCAGAACACCACATTCAAACAGGAAGTCGATCTTTAAGGCCACAAAAGGGTCAAATTAAAAGGTTAATATAAGGAAAAGGGGATGGCAAAATGCACAAATCAAATTTTCATTATAAAAAACACCAACAGTGAAAAAACAAAAACACAAGAAAAGATAGGATTACATAAAAGCTGTGCTACAAAAATATGATTTAAGAAGTGATTCGAGGGAAATCTGCAAGCCTTATCTTTCAAGTCAGGTCATGCTATATCCGAGCAAAGCATTATCACCTTTAGAGTTAAGCTTTGAATCTAGAGTGGCTCCACTTGCGAATCTGAGAATCTCAACATTTCTGCTGCGCAGCCTGGGGTACGACACAGACATGTGTTAAATGTACAAATGTTAAAAATGGAAAGAAGCCAGAGTAGGGGTAATGTGCTAAAACTAGTCAAAAGATTGATTTGATGCTGATTCTGAACTGGTTGTAGGCGGTTGAGTGAGGAGGGAGTCACTATAGTGAAGCCTTAAGAAAATAAAGTGCAAAATAAATAACTTTCCCCAAGTCAGAATTAATGTAAGAAAACAAATGACAAAATCAGTAGGAAAGGATGTGAAACAATCTTACCTACCAGCTCCTGAGTACAGATTGAGTGCAACACTTTAATGGGAAAAAAAGTGCAGATGTCTTTGACACGCTCCAGTAACAGTTTCCAGTTTCCGCTGGAAACTGAAGTTGTAAAATCTTAGTGAGAAGACCCAAAAGTAGAAGGTGATAAGAACAAGAAACAGGCTTCATATGGTAATATGTAAATACAAGCAGGGATCAAAACACAGATCAGAAGCACAAAGAGAGAAGCTTGACAAAGATGGATGAAGTAGGACTATATGCACAGGTGATTGACAGACACAGGTAGGAAACAAGAGACAGATAAAGACGATAAGGTGTGGCACACAGTCATAAAAGAGGGAAAAGACAGGAATTAAAAGCAAAAATGATAAATGACTTGGACTTATAAAGTGCTCTTTTACTCTAATTGAACACTTGAGCACTTTTAAGTAGAAGCCACATTCACGCACACATTCATACAGCGCTT